AGCCAAGCACGTTGCCCATGCTGCCAGATAAATGGGAGCGTTGTCGGGAGAAAGTCCCTTCCGGCGTGCAGGCTGCATCGCCATTGGCCGAAAAAATGAACTTGTTTTTTGTATGGCTGTCGCTGCCGGCGATGATTGGGTCACGGTCCAAGTGTGCACCAATCAACGGCGTGTTGTCCATCTCGACGATTGTATGTGCATACAAAGATCCAGTCTAACCCGACCAATGTGTCTGCTTGACAGCCAACGACACCTGCGACGCGCCGTCACGCCGAGTCAGAACGCTACGGATAGGACTAGTAGCAGGAGGAGTCGCCTTCATTGTCGTCAAAGTACGAGGTAATGCACCCGAGCTTGAGAGGTGGGTCCAGTTCGAGCGCCACGTCCCAGAAACCTGCGATTTTGGCGCAATTTTCTCTACTGTCAGCTTACGTGTAGGCACACGACTATGACGCCTCGATTCGTTTTGACGTTGCGGACGATGGATATTGAAGCTGGGAAAGCGCTTGCTGCGTAGGTGGAGTGGAAACTGCAGGTGGTCATCGTTTGCGATATCGGCCGGGCAGCCTATACCGACGCGTGATGCACAAGGACCAACAACGGGCCATCGACGCTACCGTTGGGGTGCTGGAGCTTCATCGCTTCGCGGGCATACCGGTACAAGGCGCCTTCCAGATGGGCAAACTGCGACTGGCGTATCGTTGTCATGGCATACAAATCGTCGGACGGTTCGCGGACACCAAAGCAGGTTGCGTCGCGGAGCACGTAGCCCGCGGGGAGGTACCGCGCCACATGGACCTCGCTATTCGATCCAAATCCAATCCAACGATTTCGATCAAAGTGGAGTATAATGTACCCAAATCGAAAGTCTTGGAGGGCCTCCCACACGAACGCGTCGGCACGACAGCCCGTCAACTTGATTGTATTTCGGTGCAAGAAGACGACGTCGCCGTTCGTGTCGTGCTGGACCATGCTGTTGCCACAAAAATGAGTCTGGTCTGCGCGGTCCAGCTTGCCGAGGCTGCCCGGGGGGCGAGCAATCATGTGAAAAGGCACGGCTGCTTTCAGCCACGCCAGCCGAAAGAGGTCCTTGTCGCCATAGACCATGCCAAAGTCGGTGAGAAACCTAAGACCCATAATGACAGCCATGAACATCAATGCTCCCATAAATACGCGACACGAGCAAAATTGAAGTATCGCAAGCGCGTACCTAGGCTCGTGCAACGCAAAGAAGGCGAGCACGTGTAGCGCCGGCTCGGACATGGTCTTGTTGATGAGCACTTGACCGCTCTCTTGCTCGAACATATCGACAAAGTTGATGCCAAGGAGGTCCCAGAGCCGGCTGTAGCCGTCAATGTTGAAGCACGTGTGGCCGGGCCGCCAATAGTCCTATCCAAAGCACTTGGTGCACGATATGACGAGAGGTCGTGTACGGGCCAGAAAACCGCGCCCGTCGATTGAAAGGCGTGCGTCGAGAAGAGGTAAGTGGGGTTCTGGACCGCAAAGTTGTCACAATCCAGTAGCAAAACGCTTTCAAAGGCACTGTGGAGCACCGCATAGATCTTGGAGTAAAAGCGCGTCGCCAACGGATGAAAGATCGGACGGACATGCACACGAAACGTGGTTTCCAGCGCTTGCAAAATGGCATTTTCAGCCGGAAGCTCGTCCGGTCGGTGCCACACTTCAATCGGCAGCGAGCAGTTGGTCGCTCGGAGGTGCGCGATGCTGGCATATGCCGACGCCAGCGCGCTCGGGTGCACAGAAAACACAATGCCGCGGGGGGCTAAAAAACTCGTGTTGAGGGCGTAGATGAACGTCGAGGCGTCGTGGCCGTACGATGCGTACTGGGCGGCGAGCGCGCATGTAAACTGCCGGCCCGTGAGCGATCCACAGCTCGTGTACAAGGTTCGGATCGTTTCATGGGTCACGTCGTCGCGCAGCTCGCAGTAGCCAGGAACGCCGTAGATGCCCGTGTGGATCACCGTGTCGCAGGCTTCCGTCTTGTTGGGCGTGTAAACGTAGCTCACAATGTCGTTGATTTGGCTTGGACAGCCGCCCGTGCCCGTGTACTGAAACTTGATGCACGAGTAGCTCGCGCCGTGCCGTGCGACGACAGTCGGAAAGAGGAAGCTTCCGGCGTACGGCAGCACTTGCTCGAGCGAGGGATAGAGCTGGTACCGCGCATAGTGCGCGGCGGCCGATGCATGGTGCACCGCCTTGTCCTGGATCGTATAGAGAAGCGAGTCGAGCCGTTGGCACGAGAGCAGCGAGATGACGAGCAGGCCGCCGACGCCAACGGCAACGTGCCAGCGCATTTCCCGATTCCACACCGCCTTTCTTTATAAAGGAAAACCGAAACGGTTGCAGAGCGCCAGATTCGGTACTTATTGAGGCTACTTCCTACATGTCAAAATAGATATCGCTAGCCACGTCGCATGCGCAAGTTCGACATTGCGGGAATACGCTAAATCGAGCAAGCACGGCTGCGTTAGGTCGCATAAAGTTATCGTCGACTCATTCCTCCTAGGTCGATCCCGGTATCGATCTCGCAAGGGATTTGTGACTGGAAGATAGCGCGTTCATCTGCATCGATCGATCGGTCAGCAGACCTCGCAGGCCATCCGTTGGCGCGTCAACGGACCGATAAGAGAAGCGTCCGTGACCCTGTGCGACAGAGTCATCTTCATTCTTAAGGACACATTGTACAATATTCATTTCAACGTCAATACAAACAACACTAGACGGCTTGGGCTTCGAGACGCGAGCGCATCTGCGCCACAAGGTACCGTTGCGTCTCGATGCCGAGCTGCATTTGACTCAGATGCGACTCGATGTCCATCGCATCAAAGGCGGGAGCGGGGGCGACTTGCGGTGGGACCGCCGACGGGACGTCGTCCTCGTCTGCCAAGTCTTTTGCATAGCTTTCGTTGCCGGAACTGGACCGCGTCTGGTTCGAGTGGTGCGAGTGTTCCGTGGTGTCGTCCGACGCATGCAACCCTAACCGATCGAAACTCAGTCGTTATAACCACCGGCGCATGGACATACGGAACGAGCTGGCACTGCTCGATGTTCGGTAGGAGCGCGCTTGGAGAAAGCAACGCTTGCAGAATTCGTCCGGTACCGCCTTCATCGAGCCGTCGACGCCGATGAAAACGCGGGGGATCGGGACGACGCACTTGCCACACATACTCTGCACCACAGACGATGAGTCGGTTGTCGATCCTGGCGCCGACTGGTAGGAACTACCTCGCGACAGCCCCAGCACTCGTGGCGGGCACGGAGACCGCGGAAAGCACCTGCGCACGACGAACACGTCTTGGCCTTTCTACACATTCACAACAATGAGACACACAATGGGAAAAAAGGTCATGGTCTACTTGATCGGGTGGCGCGGCTTGCGCTTCGACGCCACGTAGGCCAGTAGCCGTTTCTGCTGCAAATACTTGGCGTAGTCGTCGCTCATGTGGCTGTACGCCATCGACGTCTTGTTGAACATCCAAGCTGGTATCTTCCCGAGCGGGTTGGCCGTCATGACTTGGAGCAGCTCGACCGTGCCGTCGCGGGCTTCGGTGAGGAGGAACATCGCCTTCATATAGAACCGCACGACGCCAGGTATCTCGGGAATTTCGTCAAAGTCCATGGATTCGCGGACACAGTAGACGCCGCGGAGACCCTTCTTGTTGACAAAGGACCCGGTGCACTAAAATCGATGCCGACATGCGAAAAATGCGAGAAAAAGAAAAAATACCTCGACGTAGGTGGTATCCCGCGGCGCAAACACGCCGTTGTACGCCATGTTCATCTTCTTGTAGCGGACACCGAAGTGTCGGAACGGGTCGTCGTCGCAGCGCGCGAGCGTGACGTTGAGAACGCGTGCGTCGAGGAGGTCCTCGGCGTAAAAAAGCGTCTGCTGCGTCCGAAACGTCTCTTCGCACTCGCAGTACGTGAGCTCGACGTACTCGTCGATCGTCACGTCGGCGTTGCCAACAACAAGGAATTCATTGTAGCCCGAGGCTTGGCTCTTGCGCGAGAAGACCTTGGACGTCGGGTACTCGTGGGCAACCTTGTACCCAGCTTGGTACGCGTCGATCTCGCGCGTCTCGGGCGAGCTGTCCGAGTACTCGTGGACTAGGTCCAGCATGTCTTTCTGGACGTGGACCGCGAAACCGTCGGGGAGCGCAACCGACCACTCGACGCCAACGACCATCGCTATTGCTCTCAACGACGAAACTTCACTTGTGAACGGCAAGAGTTGCTTCTCGCAAGAGTACTCGCAAGAGTACCACGGTGGCGCGGTACCACCTTGCTTTGAAGCTACTCGCGGCGTCTGATCTGAGCGGCCAAAGGGGCACGCAAATGGCAACTTCGAAACGTGTCTACGACACAAACGTACACTATTTCCGGTCGGCCGTGGCACCAAACTTCGTGTGTCGGCGGCGGCTAGGTGGATTGCGGGCATCGCGTCAACACGGTCGGTGCCATGCCGAATCGTAGAGTCGTCGATGGCGCATAGTATTTCTTCGTATTGGGTATGTTTTCGAGGCGACAGTTCCCAGTGACACTACCAATAACATAGGCACGACCATGGGGATGGCACCCTGGTAGCGTGACCATTGAACCACCGATACTTGTGGTGGTGGTGGTATGGATCGTCGGGCGTTGACCTCGTGTGTCAGGACTGCTGGGAATGTGGATCAGGTTGTAGCTTCTCGAGCAATGTTCTGGTTGTGACGCAAGGTGCGACTGGGGCACCGACCGACTCAGAAAAACGACCGTCATCGTATCAGGCGCTTGCCACTGTGTGGCCCGACCTGTGGCACTCGATGGCATGGTTGCGTCATACTAGTACTACAAAGCTGCGACTTGTAGCCGAGGGCGGCGACGCGGCGTCGTGGCGCTTCGACAACCTTCCACCTCCAGTATGATGGACATAATGACATCAAAGGAGTTGTTTGGAGCGTGATGTCGCGCTACGGCGGCGTGCGATTCTGCGCACGCGACCTGGGACGCGAAGCGAATCTCGCCTAGGCTAACACTATTTGGGGATAAATATATTCGAACTTCGACAGACGTTGTCACGTCGCCACACGGGCTCCGTGGACGAAGTCGTTCGTTGCTCAGGTTGCGGCTACTTCGGCGCAGTGCTTGTCTTCATGGGTGTCGATATCACGAACCGGTCAACGCGCCTCGGGTAGCTTCTTCCGCACCATTGGCCAAGCTTTCAAGAGACCACAAATGAGCAGTTCTCCTCTGCCAACTAGGTATCAAGTCGGTCGGGCATGAACGGTGCTCGTGTGATTTTTCAGCGCTCGTATTCCCAGACCAATGTCAAGATCTGGATCGTGCACATAAATTATTATGGCGTTGACGCCTTCGTGCGTTGAAGCCAGACAGGCCAAAATTTGTCTCTTGCCATCCAACTCGATGACTCTGGTCGGACGCATAAATGCAACTGACGACAGTTCATGTATCCAGGCAAACGCAGTGGACAGCAGCATATTCGCTAGTAAAATACGCTGCATTCGAGTCGCATACAAGTTGCCGTCACCGCCACAGCGTGCGAGCACGGCAAAGATTGATGGGATACTCGATGGCGCGGTCAGCGATTCCCGTGCCTTTGGATACTACTTTGACTACTACTCGAAAGTAGCTTGCCGACCGTGGTGTCCCAGTGGAAGAGCCACGAGGCACGATGCACGGCTCTATCCAAAAGCTTCACGAACCTAGGAGACTTGTTCGCGGCAGCAGCAGGTTATCTTCAACAGGTAGTACCACCGTTCGTCAACGTCGACTCTGCGTGTACACTCTCGTCAACACTCGACAGACTCCTCTCTAGTGTACTACCTCCGCGTCCTTGGCACTCAAATCAGATCATGTCGTGGGGCTCGGCAAGCAAGGACCGACGCGTGAAAGGTGTAGCCCGTCACGAGGTTGCATGTGAAGCTACGTTGTGACGAGCGCTTGCGGTACGAGCCCCGTCCAAGCCCTAGCTCTGGTGCCACAAACTCAGAACAGCGAACGATAGCATCGTGTACGGCTAACACTATCTGTCAATACCACTCGTCGTGGGTGACTTTAAGCTCTGCTCAACCACTGCCTTGAAGTGCGTTGAGGCTATTCAAGTGTGCCACAGCCATACCAAGTGTATGTCTCGGGGCGGGATTTTGCTGCGACACGAAGCGCGGCTTCGTACCCTAGCCCTCGTGGTAAGCGTAAGGTTGTCCTGGGTAGCATACCATGGCATTGGCCTCGTATGCTCTGCAAGGGAATAAAGTTATTTCCTTGGGTATTCGCCTCGTGTGCATGCGCTACGCTTCCACGGTACGTTGGTGCTGGTTCAAACTGCGCTCGCGGCTACCTACCGGGCAATCGGTCGCTGTACTCTAGAATTGGACCAAATGAATAAATCAACTCTTATATTGTCTGCGTGCTGCTCGAGCTTGTCGCTTCAAACGACCGAGTCTGCTATCGAAAATTGATGAACGGTGGCCGTCTTTGGTCGCCTTGATACAATACAAAAAGATCTTTCGCTCGTCGTCGTCCATGTCATCTCTGAAAGAGCCGGCTGCTTGGAGCGCTGCCATCCCACCAGGCACGAGGTTCGGCGCTCGAATCCACATGGTATACGCCCATGACAACACGATAAAATGTACGAATAATGCTATTATGCATCCATGGTCATACTGCTGTGGACAGGAACACTAATCTTGTCTTCATGCCGAACTCGATGCGGCGCGCGGCTTGCGCGTTAGCGCGCAGTACAAGTAGCGCATCTCGAGGAGCGCATACAGCGGCTTGGTGACCCCATGCATCGTCACGCTACGTTCGAACTGTTTCTCCAGTTGCGCGGCAAACGTCGCGTAAAACGCTTGGTTGTTGCGCTCGTCTAATGTCATGGCCGAGACCACGGACGGCGTCGTCGTCGCCACCATAAAGGCCGCGCCGGCCTTGGCGTTCGGCACCACAATCGGCATGTCGATCATTTGGCACTCGTGGAGCTCCAAGTCCGGCACCTCCGCGACGCCTGCGCGCACCTCGTCGCACGTCCGGAGGTACGCACCCAGCGTCATCTTGTCCATTGACGCCTGCGAGAGGCACCCGAGGCGGATGCACTCGACGAGCGCGCTCGGCACAACGTTGGCCCACGCCACTTGAACGGCGTGGTCGGCGAACCCGGCCATCGTGAGACACATGGCGCCGTAGTCGACAAGCTCGGTCGCGCGGAGTCGTAAAAACGTCACCCAGTCGCGGTGCGCGGTGGCGGCCCACGCGGCACAAATGTCGGGCAGCGCGGCGCGTGTCGGAGCGTTGAGTGTCATGTAGTTGCCCGGCAGCGGCATCGGGATCGCCGACATCCAATGCAGCGAGATGTACGAGACGACAATGTCGACCGACGACGACGGCAAGAGACGCTCGTAAAAGCTCTTGGCAATCACGCTCGTGTAGACATTCGGCGTCGACTGCACGTACGACGTGGGCGCCCGCAGCGTCGAGAGGAGCGATGCAAAGTCGTTGTCGGGCTGGTCTTCGTGCATGACAAAGTACTCGCGCTCCATGGCAGTTGGGAGACGCGCTTCGAGGTGGCGGAGCACCGCTGAGAGGAGCGCGACCGAGTTGCGCCCTTCGGACGCACCGAGGTCGGCGATGCGCAATGTGAGCGCTGGCGTCGATGGCAAGGACGTGAGAAATCGATCAAGCTGCGTTTGTAGCAACGACTCGGTGTAGTCGACAAGCGTCATTTGGACGACCGCCGATTTGTTGTAGGCGCCACCGCCTTGCATGACGCTCGTGTTGGCGTGCAGAGATGGCGTCTTCGGTGTTTCGGTGGCCATCGCGATGCCGAGCAAATTCAAAAATGATCGTTTTTGCTGTCGTGACACGACGAAAAGATCTTGATTTCGATGTAATCATATCCCACTGTCTTCAATCCACTGGGTGTACAGTGTATTACGACCCTATGACGGTTTGTATAGTACCTCGGACGCACCTTTCGTAACGCCTTCGAGACGCGTCGGGCCTTGATGTAATCCGTCACATGGACACGACATGCAAGGCAGCCACACTGGCCACAATACACAACGTGTGGTGCCGAGCAATTCAAAATGGCTCGCAGCCAGCAGCGTCTGGGTAATGATTGATGTCATCAGACCCATCGTCTCGCGCGCAGTTGGCCACGTTCGGCAGGATTACATTCAAATGATCGCCCGTACTAGTACACGCCATGCGACATCTCATCAACTCATCGAACCAAGTCGATCTCGCATTGCAGTGCTATGGCGCTTCCAGTCATACCCACGGGTGCGCTGCGAAATCGGCTCCACCCGTTGCGATGTGAGCTGGTCGATGCTTCTTGCCCAGAGGCCTCTGTGAGACGTGGCAGTGCACGAAGGATGGTGCCCTGACGTTAACGTGACCGGTATTCAGCATGGGTATTGAGGAACACGCGACCGATCGGCCGAGCGAGGTTGCGCCTCGCGCCGCTTGAACAAGACGCGAAAACGTGGCAGAAAACGTCGTTCCATTTGCACATCTAAGGCCGTTAAAAGCCGGAGGCTACTACGGCACTGTTGACCGCACTGTAAATTCTGTTGAAAATGTACACGCGCGCTATATTGTCTCCACACACAAGATGCTTCCTGGACGACCGAGACCAAGGTCTATGAGAATCATTTGAGAGAGCTGGTCAAACCATTGATCGAACGAGTGGCTGTGGGCAGCTGTGCGAGCAGTACACAACTCTTAACAGCAAAACCCGTGTACTGTACTACTCGGTACTTGGCGCCGCCGCCCCTCGGAACAATCCCCTTCGCAACGGCAATGTCAAAAAGGCCAGTGAAACGGCTGCCACGTCGGCGTGCCAGCCATTAAGCTTTGTTTTTGTATCCCTCCGCCACTCATATCAGTAGCTCAATTCTGGTTTGCTTTTCTCATGTCAGAGCCGGATTGAGGGCTTGCAAGTCATCTCTGTTGAGCACAATTGATACTTCCATGTGGTCAGAGCCATCGCACGGGTAAACCTTGCCAGTAGAACCAAGGGTACATAAATTGAATTTATGTACCCTTGGATAGCACCTACCGACCAGCGTGCTCGTCACGAATAAAGCGATTGGCGAGCAGCTGGTGTATGAAGCCCTTCTGCGCGCGACGGCGCACCCGGCGGTGCAGACGCTAGCCTTTGATCTGAAGTCGATTGAGGCACCTCTTCGACTTGGCTACCACGTGCGTGACTGGGTGTGAACTGCGCCGGCGACAACGTTCCACTTAACCAACATATCGCACATACCAATGGACGCCGCCATGGCGTTCTGCAGCGCACTGCACGCAAGCTCGACACTTGCCGAGATCAAGCTTGTCAAAGTGAATGGCATTGATGGCTTCCTTGGGCGCCGCCTCCCGGCCAGGCTGCGCGAGCTATACTACGACCACGAGCGCCACGAGTTTACCGACGACGTCGATGACACGCTAACCGACGCCGTGCTCGCCGACTTGGCGCACGCTTTGCAGCCCACGCGCCTCGAGCATCTCAGCTACAACAACTTTGGCGAGCTCGCGGCGCAGCCGTGTCTGACACCGATGCTGTCGGGCGTCACGTCGCCGGAGCTTGTGGCAGCGCGGCTCGATAACGACCGGGTGCCTGCACTTGTGGCGGGTCTTGCGCAGTTAGGCGCGTTGAAGACACTCGTGATCGTATCCAGCAATCTGTACGGGCAAGGCTTCCGATCGGTACTCGAGGCGCTGTGCGTCCACTGTCCTAGCCTCGAGACGCTGGATTTGGTCGACAACGTTTTGAGCCAAGACGCAATGAGTTTGCTTCTGGGAACTGTCCCGCAGCTGCCACAACTTCGTACACTCGAGGCCTGGATCAGCGAGTGGTCCTTTGAGAACATTGTACCCCGGTTTTTGACAGCGTTGGTCGTCAGCTTCGGAACGTGAACACGACTTTGATTACCGACGAAACTATCACAGAAGACATGTACGATGCACTTGCTGCGATCGAGAACTAGCTCTTTTACGCCGAGACGTGGAGCCCGAGAGCGGTCATAAGGACGTTGCCCGCGGCTCTGCGCAAGACCAACAACGAGACGCGCTGTCGCTTGACCATATAAGAGCACTTTCAAGCTCCGCTAGACGGGTGTGAACGAAGCGCACTGCTGCTACGGCAAGCCCTTTTTCAGTCAACTACAACCATATCTTTATCCAGACTCATATGGTACGATGCGCTCTGCGTTTCACTGGGCACTTCTAGTAGTACGAAATTTCAATAGTTCCAACTCCGAGTTTCACTTTTAGTCTGCGAAAACCGAAATTTAGACAGTCTAGAAATGCAGAAACAAGCTTCTCATGACAACAACGTGATCGGTGGCGTCTTTGGGCTCGAAAAATCGCTGGTTTCTGCCACCTTGGCTGGAGGGTTCTGGTCGTTTTCCAGCCCACAGATAACGTTCTTCGTGCCTCGAGAAGCTTTTCCATCGTGTCCCGTACTTTGATTGACGAATGACTCGGTCGTCAAGAAGCCGGTGATGATTGCACGCATGACCGACGCCGTGCACGAGGCACTCGCCGACGGCCTCTTGCGACATTGTGATGTGGGCGTCGAGGTTAACGGCGCCTTCGAGCCGCTCTACAAGCACGTGTCGATGGACTACATTTACGGCTCGTTCCCCCAGCGTCCTCGTGTCTCGACTCACAAGTGCGTCTGTTTTGTCATGTCATTCTGCGTTGGCTTCCTTCGACCGACGTCGTGGCGATATAAGTTCATGCACCTGTTGTGGAAGCATTGTCTGTGACATGTGTGTTCATGCAGTAGGACTAGAGACGCGACACCTCTGTGCCTCAGAGGCACAGACATGACCATAGAAAACGCGCGGCCACACGTTTTTCGACCGTTACAGGGTCATGACGTGGCAGCGTGATGCCGTCGGGATCTTGCGCCACCGCCGATGAGTCGCCGGCTCTCCACTGATAATCGCGACGAGGAATCGTCGCTACGAGAGCCTGCGTAAACACATTGTTGTACTGGTCATGTACCGGTACAGTCTTTGCGCTGTCCCAGGAGAAATGGCTTGCATCACCAAGACACCGATCCGTCTCTCGTTGTCGTTGAATTGAGTTATATTACATGCAATTATGAAGAAATGGTGGACTTCCTAATGCGCTCGTGAGGCGTGGCAGGTGCGTCAGCGAGGAGCGTTAGTGGTCGTGATTCGAGATTGTGCGAGGGACTAGGTAGCGTGCACACCAAGGGTCTTCGAGCGACCAGCGACGCGGCCGATCCGTCTCTCGTGGGTTGCCTTGGGTCACGAGGCCTTGTATCGCAGCCAAAGATTCGTTGGCGAGACGCGAGGAGGGTCTACCTGGTACTAGCGAGGGGTACGTACCAGTCCTTGTGTAGTTGGACCGCGCGTCGGTCCGCACGCAGCGCTGCGTTTCCATGGACTTGGCAATCTTTTGGGCGCTGATGTGTCTCACAGCCAGATACCGGTATGTACATGTATTTCCGAGCGAATATATAACCAGTCCTCACGGTCGAACGCGCTTACTCGCCTCGCGGAGCTGCCTCTCGGTCGTTGCGACGGCCAGCGTAGTACGCCCGCCACTTGGAAAAATGAAATCAACGACCCATTTCAATGGCGCACAGACGTCCACGGTGCTCGCCTGCTCGACGCCATCGGCCGTCGAGTATCCCTGGGATGGAATCCTATCGAGTACGGTAAGGATTGGATCGAAACCTACTCCCTCTCGTAGTCAGTGCTCTCCTTCACATTGTCGGCATGTTCTGTGTCGGCCAGCGTGTGCGCCAGCGCGAGGAAGAATCGCGCGCCGTTGACAGCGCATCACTTCAACTTCACGCCATGTGCAACGTGCGGATGTCACGGTAGCTACCAACCGGTGGTAACCCACGTGAGTAACACTCGAGAAAAACCAGATTTCTGCGAAGCTGTGGACTCGACTACCGCCTCGCGGTTAACCTGCAGTGCTCTAATCCACGATGCCACTGCGTGGGTACGAGATAAAAGTCGACGTGCTGTGCCTCTCTCAAACACGATTCAGTCCAAGCCGCTGGTTTTGCGATGGACAACGGACGCAGCACGACAAGCCATCATGTGCAATCTCCATGACAGAGTAACTGCCAGACCGTTGCGACCTGCGCCACGGCGTGACCAACCGTATGCACACGTCGCGGCCGCGCTCTCTCTGGCCTCTTACCTTGGTATCTTTGCTCTTTGATGTCTGTCTGGATCGCTGTGGGATGGTCGCACTCTTCAATTCGATTCGTAGACCCACAATGCGTCTAGACAGCGACGCGTGGCAATCGCTTCAGCTCACGCTGCACGACGCTGTCCAAACACTCTTGCAGTCGTACACGAGCGGCCGCGACGAGCTCTGCAGCGGATACCGCTTTGCAAAGGCCAAGCATGGCCAGCACCTCTTTACACGCACGACATCGGCGTCGCCCTTCCTTGAGGTGCTCTCGATCGGCAACTCGGTCCGGTCGCTCGACGACGTCCTCGACCTCTGCTACGCCGCGACCTCGGAGGACCTGAGCATCCTAGAAGGCCTCGTGCACGGCGACAAGTACCTCGATGCGGCAGTCCTTGAGACCGTTTTCGCCGCGACAATCGACGACCCGTTTCGGTGGCTCGGCACCAAGACCAAGCAGATCTACATGACGGGCGGCTTTGAAAAGCGGGGTACGACGTTTGTCGAGTATTCGGGGTCGCTGACCGACGACCTCGGGCAGCGCGTGCTCTTCATCATGCGCGAGTCGATGCCTGGCGACCTCCCGCGCGACGTCATCGCGTACCGCCTCCAGTCCATCTCGCTCTTTGTCGAGAACGCGACCGGCCGTGTCCAGGACGTGCATTATAGTTTTGTGGACCCCCAGGGCAAGTTTCCCGCGTGGCTCTTCAACCAGCAGGTCGCGACGCACATGCCGGTGACGCACCGCATCTCGATGCTCGCCCAAAAGAAGCGACTCCTCCTCGCGGCCATGCATCAGCCCGTCGACTACGACGACCGGTACGACTTGTGTACCGTTTCAGTGCGGCGTCTCATGCGATGTAGCCGCACCCGCGCCTGTGGGTCGTGCAGCGATAAGCTCGGTGTCTTTCATCACAAGCACGTGTGTCTGGCCTGCCATCATGTACGCAACAAAGCCGTCGAAAGCATCTCATCGCTGGACTAGGTCATGTGCCGACGATGCCTTATCAAAGTCCCGCGAGCGCTGCCGCGCGGCGCGGTGGCCCAAGAGCCCTTTTGCAAAAAATGCTTTGTTGTCGCGAAAAACCCCAAGTTGCCCATGCACCACCTCGCATGGATGGACGAAGATGCGATCTTGCACTCGGTGATTGCGCGGCGTCGCTTCTACTCCAACCAAGCGCACACGTCGAACGCGAACGGCGCGACGTTGTACGACGACAAGTGCCGTCGGTCGAGCGTCGGCGTCCGCAATAGCTCCATTACGACGACCGGGTCGCTGGCCGATCTTCCAGAAGAGCCCGTTTTTGCGGAAATGGACGCGTGTATCCAGACGCAGCGCAACCTCGTCGAGCAAATTCGCCTCCGCCTCCAAGAACCCACGTTCGATTAGACTCGTTTCATCGACACCCTATTTAACGCACCAAAATACTACCTCTAAATACATACGTTTATTGAACCTCGCCCGTGCGATTGCCTGCTGCTGTGTATCGATCGTATATGTCTCCGCATACCAGACCAGTCCTACTATAATAGCAGCCATGGGCATGTCGATGTAAAGTAATATGGCTGCGCTCTGTCGATGCTATCCATACACAATCCAATAATGGCCCGCACTACCCTCTTTCTCGTGTCGGCGCGTCCCAGCCATCCATATTCTGTAACTGTCAATCAGAAAGCGAAACCGTCAGTCCACCGCGTCCCGCGAAGAGTCCCAGGTCAAACGAAGCTTTGGCACGCCAGGCGCGTGCTGTGCATGATGGCGTCCCGTGGTGGCCAATCCAGTGTTGCTCAAGGGAAAAATCCTTCCTGATGTCCTTGTTGATTGCACACCCTATGTGGGCATGTGTTCTATCTACCATCGCATCGACACTTTACAAAAAAAAAGACACGTAGCGATTACGACACGATTTACAAGTGCGCCGAGACGTACTCGGCGATGCGCTGCTCCATGTAGATGCGGTCTTCGAGGTGGCGCGGCGAGTGGCGTTCCTTGGGAAACAGCAGCAGATCGTAGTGCTTGCGCGCCGAAATGAGCGCATTGATGAGACGCGCGGTGTGGCGGAAGTGCACGTTTTCATCAATGAGGCCATGGATCAAGAGCAGCTTCTGGTGCGGCTGCATGTGCTGCACGTAGTTCATGACGTTGCCGCGCGCGTACCCAGTCGGGTTGAGCTGCGGCGTCGACATGTACCGCTCCGTGTAGCACGTGTCATAGCCGTCCCAGGACGTGACGGGCGCGCCGGCAATCGCGAGCTTGAACGTCTCGGGCGCCTTGACAAGCGAGATCGCGCTCATGTAGCCGCCGTAGCTCCAGCCCACCATGCCCACGCGACCGGCGATCGTCGTGCCGTCGGCAATGCACTTGTGCACGCCGTCTTCTTGGTCCGAGATTTCAATCGTGCCCATTGCATGCTTGATCGCGCCTTCAAACGCAACACCGCGACGGAACGTGCCGCGGTTGTCGACCTTGAGGACGGCGTAGCCCATCTGACGAAACATCTGCGCACGCATGTCGACCGTCACGTTCCACGCGTTCTGGACGCGCATCACGTGCGGGCCGCCATAGACGTTGACCATGGTCGGGTACGGGCCGTGGCCGTAAATGCTCGCGTCGGGCTTGTAGATCGCACCATACAGCGTCGTCGTCTCGTCGCGCGTGCGGAAGCTAAAGATGGTCGGCGCCTGGATACGATCCGAGAGGAGCGTCAAGCGCGGGTCCGACGTCGTGTGGAGCGTGTGCACGGGCGTGAGCTCATGGCCGTTGACGAGGCGGTAGACAACGGCGGTCGGCGGCGTTACAAGGTTGCTGTACACATCCACGAGCGTTGTGCACGCGCCGTCCATCGTGATCGAGTGGACGCCGCCAATTGTCGTGATCTTGGTCGGCGGCGTCATCGGCTTGGAGAGCGAGGTCACGTACAGATGGCGCTCCGTGGGCTCGTCGAGGTTGCCGGAAAAGTAAAGCCGGTCGTGCTCGAGGTCAATGCCCTCAATCGCCTCGACGTTGCCCTCGCCAAACGTGAGCTGGCCGACGACGTTGGCCGCGCCGTTGGCATACTCGTAGAGGTACAAATGCATGAAACCCGACCGCTCGGACGCCCAGAGAAAGGTAAACGCGCCATTGCCGCGGTGCTCGAGGTTGCGGAAAAGGTAGTGCGCGTTGAGCCACACGTCCGAGTGCTCGGTGAGCAGCGTGGTGGCGACACCGGTCGTCGGGTCGAAGCGCAGGAAGGCTGCATCGGTCTGGAGACGGTTGAGCGTCTGCACGCCGAGGCTGCCGTCGAGGAGCCAGTTGACGCGCGAAATGTAAAAGTCGTCGTCGCCGCCAAAGTCCATCCAGATCGGCGATTGAAAGACATCGGGTGTGTCGAGGCGAAGCGGAAGCACACCGAGGCGGCGCTTCGGGTTGGCCTCGCCCGCGAACGGGTACCGGTGGTCTTCCTGCGCACCATCGCCGACGTCCGGGCTGCCCGAGTGCATGATGCGGAACTGCGGAATGTGCGTGTCGTCAATCTCCTCGAACGCAAGGTGGGCCGAGTCGGGCGACCACCAAAAGCCATGGAAGCGCGAGAGTTCTTCCTGCGTGACAAAGCACGCAAGGCCGTTGCTCTTGCCGCTCTCCCGGGCGCCGGTCGTGACCTGAACCGCCGTCGGCAGCGACCCGTCGGCGTTCGGCTCGGCCGCAATCACGTAGAGCTCGCTTTCTTGGACAAACGCAATGCACTTGCCGTCCGGCGAGTACTGCGGGTCGATCGCACCGCCCTTCGCGCCCGTCGACGCCTTGTCAAAGAGCAAGACAAGCTCGGCGCCCGGGCGCTCCTGGAGGTACAAGTTGCCCTGCAGCGGGTACACGATGCGCGTCGAGTGCGGCGTCGGACACCAAAGGAACGACGTGATACCCGTGCCCATCTGGCGCTGACGCTCGCGGCGCAGCTTCTCTTCGAGCGAGAGATTGCTCTCCGTGTT